GGAAACCTGTTCCAAGAGAAAGGAAGTCTTGTTCATGCTACCCTGTAAAGCCTCGTGGTATTTATCGCCGCTTTCATGCAAGCGTTCTAGCAGCCGACGGAGTTTAAACTCCAACTCCCTCACTTGGTCGTGAGAACTACCAGAACGAGATTTCAAAAGTTTAGATTCACATACTTCTGCATCCCTTCTCCAAACATCAAAGGCTGTTTGAGTTCTAGAAACTTCACATTTTACATCCAAGTAGGCTTTGTCAAGTTGTTCAATAGAAGAAGACTGAATACCACAGCAATTGGTCCTAATACTACTGGTTAATTCTTGGCTCAAAGCACGTAATTTGACTTTCAGCGAGTTAATAGAAATAAATTCGGCCTGCTCAGAAAATGTTTCAGTTGCCATTTCCAAATGATTTTCACAAATTTCCTTAAAATTATGCAGCTCTGATAATAGGCCATCAAGTTGAGCAAAAAGAGTTTCAATAGCGTTTCCAACAGCATCAAAATGATCAGAAAGTTTCATTAAAGAAACACGGGTTTGCGAAAGTACTTTCATACGTCTATCATAGATCTCATCACTGCTTTGTTTAAACTCACCCATTGCAGACAAAAGTGAAAGTTTTCCTTGATCAAGGAAACATCGCAAACCATTAGATCCTTGAAACTGACGAAGAAAAGTACTAAAATCGTGCAAGATGTTTTCAACATCCCGCTTGTTTGCCCGAAAAGACTGCATATCACGAATTAGAGTTATATGATCTGCCAATAATAAAACAAATTGAAATAAAACAACAACAAAAAATTTAAACCAACACAATAAGAGTCTTACTACAAGAAATTAACTCACCACACAAAAAAAGACATATATAAAGAAAAACGTGACAATCCACCCACCAAAAGAATTATGCGAGTGCTACACCCATACAAGTTCCGATTAGCAAATATTTTATGTTATTCAATATATCTTTACTTATTTATTAATATTCAGTAGTTTCAAGTGCTAAAAATGGATTTTGAAAAACTGTGTCAAAGGCGTCCAAAGTTTCATCAATAAAACTCTCATCATTACACTCGAGTGTAAAAAATCTAAAAACAGAGTCCTGACGTGCGCGTTCCGTTCCAGACTTCCACTTTATAGGCCCCAATGAAATTGTCTTTAGCTGTGTGTTCACCTCACGATAAATAGTTCCCTGTTCAGCAAACATATTGGAACGAAGAACGATAGAGACATTCCGGCATAAAAAACCATCCTTAACGCTTGTCGTCACCTTAAAATTTGTAATTGCACGGACAATCTTGGGGTCGATAGTCCCATTGAACAATGGTTTTAATGGAGTTTCAGTAGCTGACAAGACACCACTCCAAAAGCCTTCAATTTTGTCAAGAGCCTCCTGTCGTTGCTCAAATAAGAGTTCAAGTTTTTTCCTGTATTCAATGCGTGTCTGATTCGCCTGGGACTCTGTTTCTGTTTGCAGAAACTTCACCTTCTCGTTACAGTTGGCGACCGCGTCAACCACATGTTGGGGATATGTGCTCATTTTCTTCTTCAATGCATAGAATAATCACACACACACACACACACACACAAAGAAGAACAACGAAAATAAACGCTCATACAGGCAGTATTATATTTATCATCAGTACCAGAGATAGAATAAATTAAAACAGCAACAGAAACAATTTCCTTTTTGCGCTTTTATCCCCTTTTTAAATTTCCCTTTCATAATGTAAAATCCAACAAATCGTTTACACCTTTTTCGCAAAATTCACTCCCATCCTACATGCTAAACGTATTCCATTGTATAAAAGAGGGTAACAAAAAGCCTGAGCAGCCCCATTTGTCTCGCCAAGTCGTTGATGATGTTCCTCCTCATCCCTAAATTTAGCCACTATATCTTTGATCTCTTTCAAAGCCTTGGCATCATCATCGTTTAAATTGACCCCTCCATTTTCCAATTCCTCAAGTTCACGAAGTTGATCGTTATAATGGTTTACAATTGTAATTTCAACCGCGGCATGACAACACATCATTGCCTCTTTGCCGAGCAGGGCAGTCAAAGTTGCCATAGCAAAGCCACCTACATGAAACACGGGATCCAGGGCTGTAAGTCTCACAGAATGCTTCTTTGCAAGGTCATTCATGGTCTTCTCGTGAACAAGTTCATCCTTTAAAATTTCTTTAACCACGGGAACTGCCGAATCAAGTGGAGACATCCACAAAAGCTGATACCCACAAATTCGTACCGCTGCCGTTTCCCCCGCCTGATCTACGCGAAGCACCTCATCAATCTTACTTTTTCGGGCGGAATTTGCAAAGGTGCGACTCGGCAAGCCGAGAATACGCGGAAAAGTCCGCCGCATCATTCTGAACGCGTTTATGGGTGCTTTGCTAATTCAAGGCGTTCATAAAAACAAATCAAAAAAAAAAAAAAAAAAAATAATAATAATAATAAAAAAAAAAAAAAAAAGAAGAGACAACCCCAAGAGCACAAAAAAAAAAAGGATAAGGGGGCGGCATGCACCAAACAAACGCGGACAACGAAAATTAAAGCAGGCCGGGGGACCCAAGAGCCGCGAAAAAAGCGGGAGAGTCCGTCCCCAATAAAAAAACGGACGCACGGCCTGGCCGCGCGCCGCGCCCCCAGAGCCGGCGAGTTTCCCGGCGCACGCCCGCAGAAGGCGGAGGCCGAATCCACCCGAGGAGGCGCGAGGGAAAAAGCCTAAAAGCAAGGCTTGTTTTTGCGGCGGAGGCGTGTCGCGGGATGTTTTTTTTTTTGTTGTTTTCAAACCGCTGTACTTATCGTTGTGTTTCGGCGAAGTTTTATATGTATTTATTTATTTATTTGTTTATTTATTATTGTTATTATCAACATTGTGTTTCTTTTGTGTGTTACTGATGCGGAGCTCGTGACGGAATCGTTTGGTTCTCATTCCTTGCGTGTATATCCTTTTGTTTTCGACAATAAAAAAATTATTCGTCAAATTTTAAATGCTGTGCTTTTTTTCTTTGATAATTTTTCAAAGATGAGGTTAAAATAATAATAATAATAATAATAATAATAATTCCTACGATTTTTTTTATAGACAACATTAGGGGTTTATTATTATTATTATTATAGTTATTATTATTGTTGGATATAGGCCATTCAAAGTCTGTTTAGGAAATGACACTTACGGGGGAATTCATGAGCTTTTTCATTGTGGACTTCTGGGTTTTTTGTTGCATGAGCCGTCATTGGGATTTTCAATAATTTTAAATACCTTTTTCTAATATTTGAAAATAATTTTTTTAATTTTTATTTGTTATACAGAATATGTGTAGCTTTTGGCAAAAGGCCGGTAGATTATTGTTTTGGCTTTTATCATTTAATTAAGTACGACGGAAGTTGTAAAATAAAACCTTTTGCGAATTGGAAAAGGTTGCATTGCTACTGGTCGGTATGATGTTGGTTTTATTGAATTGACTACTATGAAGTTTAGCAGAACTTTGGACTAGAGAAAAATGAGGAAAAAAAAACTTGAAGTAGAACCTCATATAGCTTGTGAATTACTCTTTTAAATATTGATTATGCACCTCTTTTTTTTTTTTTTTTTTTTTTTGAATTCGTTTTATTGAAGACTTGTTTGGCTTTATTCCTTTTTTTTCTTTTAGGTGCTACGGAGTATGTACTGTTGCGGTGGAAATGGACGTTTATTTACTCAGTTTTTTTTTCTATTTATTTAGTTATTTTTGCGATGGGTGCCTCCGAAAGTGGTAAAAAAGTCAATGCTTATGCTTATGCTTATGCTTTTTTTTTTTTTTTAGGAGCTTTTGAAAAGAATGATCGTGGGAGAGCTGGCTAACTTAATTAATGTATGTTTATATCCTGATAAATGAAGGCATTCTTTATGATACTTTCTACCGTATGAATCTTTTGGGAAGAACGAGACTTTGTAGGGGCAGGGAGCCGATGGAGGCCAGAGTATTTTTTATTTTTGTTTTTGCCATCTTACCCAACCCCTTGATTCCCACCACGCGGCGGGGTCTTGTGGCTGGAGGACCCCAAAGTCTGCCACTTCTTAAGTAATAATATTTAAATCCTAACTGAGGACAAAAGACCATGCTAGTGGTTCACGGAATTCTATATATTGAATGAAAAGAAAACATTGAAGCAATTAAATAACGAACCTTTTTTCCTAACTTGTTTGGTTTTCATATGTTTCAGGATCCGGCCAGCTGCCCGGAAGATTATTCTGGTACAAATGAGCATTTTAAAAAATGGATGAGCTGGGGTCATCACCACTCATTTTTTTATTTCTTTTTTTCGATTGTTCTTTGTTTTATTATTACCTTGATAAGGATGTGCTAGTATATAAGTATGGAAGTTTGATCTATCACCTTAAATATGTGAATTGACATTTAGACTTTTTAAAAACTCTAGATGAGGAAGGTTTGTCTTGCTTTTTACAACCGTTTTTTAATGGCCTTTTTAAACACTTGAGATACACACTTTTTCTTTTTTAACTAATTGCGGTATATTGAGTACATTTTTAATTTTTTCTTATCTTTTCTTATCTTCATTTTTATTCTAATTTTTTTATTAATTGCAAAAAGGAAACTTGATATTTTAATGTCATTTGGAAGCCCATTTTCCATGGAACTTGCAAAGGAATTTGTTGAGTTCGTCAATAAAGCCTGCACCCCGTTTCATGCAGTTGAAGTTATTTCTTCATGGTTGCTTGAAGCAGGATATAAAAGACTCAAAGAAGATGAGCCATGGCCTTCTATTTCGGTGGGCGATCGATATTTTGTCACGAGAAATGATAGCAGTCTGGTCGCCTTTTCCGTGGGAGGCAAATTTGAACCCGCTAATGGTGTAAAGATTGTGGGGGCCCATACGGACTCGCCCAATCTTGCATTAAAACCAAGAACGAGGGCTGATAAAGGGGAATATCAGGGCATTGCGGTCCAATGTTACGGTGGTGGGCTATGGCATACTTGGTTTGACAGGGATTTAACGGTTGCTGGCAGGGTGTTTTTATCTTCGCCTAAATTGGAAAAACGCCTTGTGAACTTAAAGCGACCAATTGTAAGAATTCCTTCCCTTGCAATTCACCTTCAAACTGCCCAAGAACGTGAAGGATTTGCACCAAACAAAGAAAAACACTTGGTTCCCATTATTGCAACAGA